CCCTGGAGCTACTTGAAAGCAAAGAACTCTTTGTTCTTATTTTCCCCATTCATTTCCTTCCCTTTCACTTCCTTCCCATTTCCACCCCCTAGAAACCCCACTGTCTCTATTACTAAATTCTAAATAGAATCATTTGGAAGGAAGGGGCTATTTCGCCAAGGTCTCTCGCTGTTTCATTTGTAGGCAGTGCCCTCCCTCTGACTCGTCCCCTTTAATCTTTTCTGTTCTCTCTAGCCTGGGCTTTTGTCCTCCACTCCAGCCTTGCAGTGCTCTGGGTTCCTTAGGATGCTAATCACACCCAGTTTTCTTCTTGTGCCAAGAATATTTCTATTTATCAAGCCATGGCAGGATCTGCCGTTGGAAGGGACACATACAAGGGCAGGAACACTTTCCATTCCTTGGGGCTGTTTCTTTTTTTACCTTTCCCATTTCAATCCAGGTTTCTTTTTTTTTCTTTCCTATTTTTTTGGTTCCCCTTTATGTCTTGTGCTGCTCTCTGAATGCATGGATTACCTCGGCACCGTCCCCTTCCAGCACTGAGTGCAGGCTCGCTCCAGCTCAGATTTGTGCAGAATTATTGACCCTTAAACTAAAAAGGAGATTCAGGCTTATTTAAACCCATCAAGGTGGTATCATTAAAGTGCTTGAATTCTCTCTGCCTCCATTTGGGCTCTCCAGAATTAGAACCAAGACAAGTATTCCAGTAGTTTTTATAGGAGGAGAAGAGAACACCAGGGGGAATGGGGAGAGTGAGACAGGGAAGAGAAAGCAGTCGATTAAGGATGAGTTTTCAAGTCCATCTGGACTGTAGGCAACTGTAGCCTCAATACCATGGGAACTCTGGGAAGGAGTGGAGAGCACATGCTTCAGTGGAACGGAGAGGAAGCCAGGGTATTTCATGGTTAAGGGTTTCTCCTGGGGGTGTTACTCCTTCAGTATTTGCAGGCTGCCTTGTTTCTGGGCACAGCATCCTTCCCCAGCTTTGGAGGAAGTCCTCAGGCAGAGACATAGTCAGGATAGGCTAGAGCAAAATAAGCCAGGGGCTCAAGTATAGGCTCTAAGGAGGGCCTCGCTCAGAGCCATGCCGATGCAGCGTCACCGGCTGGGCATGAGTGTCTCTCTACGTTTCACCCTGGGCACTTCACTGCATCTGGCCCTGGATGCCCACACTGCCAGCTGGGCACTGCTGTACTGCGAGGCCATGGGAAATAGGTAGAACACCGATGGCAACTCCTATAGCCCCAGTGATGGAGTCTGTACCCCCTTCATTATTCGTCCTTACTGCCTGGAATCCTGCTTCTCAGAAGCAGCTCCAGAGGGGCAGATGGTTCTTCCCCTTCTCTATCTCCCATGTCCCGTCTCTTCATGAAGGCTCGAGGTCTTCTTCCTTGGAATATCATCATTCTAAGTGTCATGGATCCAGCTTTCTTCATCCCTCCTTTCTGGGTTCTCTATCTTATTTGGGAGGCAGAGAGGAGAGACTCACTGCTCTTGCTCTTCTGAGCCTTTCCTGTTTTCCACTCAGTTCCCATTTACCGGGCACCAGCCACAGGCCAGGTTTGGGAAATAGAAGTGGAAGGCAGTTGTGGTTTTGCTGTGGTCTATCGTCACCCAAATGCCTCTCAAGTCACAATGATGATGAGAGCTACAGAGAAGACGCACAAGGTACTCTAGGAATGAATATTGGGGTTCTCACATTTGAAGGATTGCAAGAATTCACTAAAGTGAGAGTTCAGCTGAGATCTGAAGAATACAAGGACCTTAGAAGGACAAAGAGGGAAAGGCACTCTGATAATGAGAACAGAATGTGCAAAGGTCCTGTGGCATGGAAGACATGGAAAGCTCAAGGGCCTGAATAAAAGGCCAATGTGGCTTAATCGAGGAGGCTGAGATGGAGACGGCATAGTGAGAAATGAGACTGGAAAGACAGCTGAGGGCCTTTTCACATAAGGAAAGCCCAAGAGTGAAGGGAAACAATCTGAAGGGCTTTTAGTAGGAAAATGACATCATCCAATTAGTGTTCTAAAGAGGTCCTTCTGCCTTCTGTCAGGGATCAGACAGGTAGCAAGTTCCCCAAATTAGTTGTGGAGCAACTAGGAAGGAGGCTAGGCAGCCTCCAATGAGAGCTGAGGATGGCTTGGGCAAGGGTGTAGCTGTATGTGGCCAGGAAAGATATGTGGTTTGGCTTCTGACCTTTTTTGCACAGCCTCCTCCAATCCAAGGGCTTGGGTCTGGATATGTGGCCCAGTCTGGATATCCTTGTCCCTCAAAGAGTCAGGGTCCTTCACTGTGCTATCATCACTTTTATCTGTAGAATAACATCACTAGAAGGAACACATTGTCAAACCCATTTTATAGAGATTAAGGATTAATTAGTGTGATAATCTAAGATCACATAGCCTGCAATTTATGGACCTTCTATAAACTCAAAATCTGATAGGCAGAATGGATAAGTGATCAGATATTTTAGGGAATAGTATGCAAAGTGTGGAAGCAGAAGATGCTAGGACCAGTCAGAGCAAGCAGCCACCTGTGTCCAGAGTGAGCGCTTCCCCAAGCAGGGATTGCACCTTCCAGGGCCCAGCATGGGGCCTGCTCCAAGGAGGCCCATGTCGTCCTCAGTCTTACTACACACTTGCTGAATGTTTGAATATCTCTTTCCAACACTTCACTTGCAAGAAATCTTTCTTTCTGAATTACCATCTTCCAAGAGACAAATTATAAACGTTTTCTGATTAGTTTTACCATTCATAGCCCATTCCTAAATCAGCACAGGAAACAGCTAAGCTAAAACTTCTGCCTCTTTCTTCCCCTACAATCTGCCTGTATCTTACTCTTTCTTCCTCCAAGATTTTTCTTAGGCAATGTCTAGACAGTTAAAACAAAGCAAAACAGAGCAAAACTCAGAACGGTGCTAGGAATAATTTGTCATTCAGGATTCTTTTTTAATTTTTTCCTATGGTTGAACTGGGTTACCCTGTGAGCTGAGAGGAAGGCTGCCCTCCCCTCCTCCAACACACACACACACACACACACACACACACACACACACACACACACACACACAATTGATGAGATGTCAAAAGGTTCAGACTGGTTACACTGAGTCCGACAAAGTTGTTGCAGATTCCTGTTCTAATCAGAATAGGCATTCAGCATTTGTCATCTCTGTACTTATGTTGTTTCAAAGGCTGTACAGATCAATATTAGGCAGTAACAATATTTGTGTGTTACCTATGCATGGTATTCAGTTCTGTGGCAGTCTCTCTCTTCCTCATCCCCTAGAACTGAATATCATGTACCTGCCACACACAAGTTATTGCCACTACCATTGTTCAGGTCTCTTCATTCCCTTACTGGGACCATTGCAATAGTCTCCTGACTGATCCCTCTGCCTCCAGTCACACGCCAGGTTTGGGAAATAGAAGTGGAAGGTGGTTGTGGTCCTGCTGTCACAGAGCGCGACAATCTAAACAACCCTCCATATCTGCTACTCTAGTGATTTTTCCAAAATGTACATCTAATCATGCCTGCACTTCCCCACCAACCTGCTGTCTTCCACATCTCTACGTGGAAATTCAATGAATGCCTGTTAAAATATGGTGGAATGAAATGTCCACATTGCTCATCACTAATCTTGAGAAAATAATCTTATGGCTAAAAATAATGGTGCCAGGGACTGTGCCATGCATTTTATGTACCTTTTTTGCAGTGACTCTATCTCCATTATTGTCATTTTTTTTTTTTGAGTTGGAGTCTCACTCTGTCGCCCAGACTGGAGTGCAGTGGCCGCTCCCGGCCACCGCAGCCTCGACCTGCTGGGCTCCGGCGATCCTTCCGCCTCAGCCTTCCAAGTAGCCGGAATTACAGGCATGCGCTACCATGCCTGGCTGATTTTTTTGATTTATTGTAGAGATGAGGTCTTGCCGCCCAGGTGGGTCTCGAACCCGCGGGCTCAGGCAATCCACTCACCTCAGCCTCCCAAAGGCGCGGGATTACAGGCTGAACCACCGAGCCCGGCATTACTGTCATTTTAAAGGTGAGAAAACTAAGTTTAGAGAGGTCAGGTAACTTGCCCCAGGCCCCACATTTGAGATAGAAACCTAGGCAGTCAGACCCCAGAGGGCTCTAACTGCTCTGCACCACTGATGTCATTGAGTCATTCACTGGGGGTCCTACAAGAAAGGCAAAGCTTGTTGTTGAGCAAAAGGTAACGTCCTTCCCCAGCTCTACACAAGAACATGCTTTCTGCTGAACTCAGTACCTGTAGTCCTTCACTGATGCAGACCTGAGGTGCAGGCCATCACCTTAGAGGCCCTGTTCTCCTACAGTGGGGTCAGGCAGAATTTGTGTTGCCCTAAATCCTGTCTCTTATGTGATCATAGTAGCCCTGGGCTCCTTTGGGCCCTGAGCTTGCTGTTCCCCAAACCCTCAGATTTATGCCAGAAGTTCTGATTCCTTCTAAATACCAGCCCTTACGTGGGATTCCACTTTCTTGGAGGAACACTATTCTCTTACACCAGTGTTCCCGGCCCTTCCCTCAAGGGCTGGGGCCGGTGCTCCCCATTCCAAATTGCTGCCAAGGTCGTCCTCCTCTGAATTAGAGGAGCTTCTGGGAACACAGGGCTCATCCATCTGCCCAGCTGTGGGGTCTGCTCTGTGACAGCTCTTTCGGCTGGGCTTCCTTCCCCATCCGAGGAGTTGCTGAGCAGGCAGTGCTTGGTAGAACCCAGACTTTGAGCTTTTCCCCCAACAGGCTTATGGTTCTACTGTCTGGACCCAGCTCCCTGCCTGCTCCCTCTGGCTGAGATCAGCCGTGCTGTCATCCAGGCCAGGGATAATAGGAGGGCTGAAACAAAGCTCCCAGCTTGGCATGTGAACCTAACACTGAAAATGTCAAAGATTATTTGATAGTAAGTCCCAGGTAAAGAATAGTAATAGTTTCTTTTCCTCTATGTCCTCAATGTCAGCTGCTCAGGCCCTCCCAGAAGGTAACCTACAGGATATGATGTTTCCATATCGATTCTTATTGCGGTTTTCATCCTCCTTGGCTGTATCCCATGATGCTGTCTGTCCTTCTGGTAATGCCTAGAAAGCAAGGACAGAATGGTTAGTTAGAGTAGCTTGAGACAGGAGGTTTACCCAGGTGTAGATGAATCAACAGGGGGAAAAGAGAACCCTGTGATGGAACACTTGGTATAAAGGGATGTGTGTCCTTGGGTGGGCCTGGGGAGGACATAGACTTTGCTCCTTCTGTGGGCCATCCATGAGTTTATGGACTCAGATATTATCAATATCTTCTGTGTGTTATGAGCTCATAATCTGGTCCAGAAGAGTCATTTGTTCATTCATTCATTCAATCACCCATAAACTCAACAGATGCTTAATGAACCCCAAATATGGGCTGGGCACTATTCTAGGTTCTCGGAGTACAGAGAAACAGACAGGTCTCCCTTGAGGCAACTGGGAAATGTAGCAAATAAACAAGCAAAGGTATAATTTTAGATAGTGAAAAATGCTATGAAGAAAATAGAGCAGTATAAAAGGATAGTAATAAGGAATAAGAATTAGTTAAGATTACACAGTCTGGGAGGGCTTCTCTGAGAAGGTGACTTTTAAATGTCAGTACTCTTCCAGTATTCTTGGAAGATATGTTCCAAGACCAATAGTGGGGATGCTTGAAACTGAATGGTACTGAACCTTATATATACTACGTTTTTTTCTTATACATACATACCTGTTTCTTATACTTATATACATTAATTTACAAATGAGATACAGTAAAAGATTAACAATAACTAATGATAAAGTTGAACAAGTATAGCAATATACTGTAAAGAAAGTTATGTGAATGTGGTCTCTCACAACATATCTTAATATTTTCAGACTTTTGCTGACTGGGTAACTGAAAAATTGAAAAGCAAAAACACAGATAAGGGGGGTATTTCTGTAATTCCTTAATGACATAAGACAGCTGATCCCACCAGGAAAAGCAGGAAGTGCTTTCCAGGCAGAGGGAGCAGTAGGCGCAAAGATGACCCGGCCACAACAAATGACCATATTCAAGGACAAGTAGTGATGAAAACATCTAGAGAGGATGGGGTAGTTGAGATTACATAAGACATCACCATTACTGTTTAACAGGGCATTAGTCTAAGTATGATGAGAAGCCATTAAAGAGCTTTGCACAGGGGAATCATCTGATCTAATTCATGTTTTACAAAGTACATTCTGGCTCACATATGGGGTACAGGCTCTAGAAAGACCATGGAGGGAGCAGGGAGATCAGTTAGGAGGCTGTGGCAATAGTCTAGGCAAGAGATGATGGTACCTTGGGCTCTTAAATCAGAGTACTGGCAGTGGATATATGAGAAGTGATTATCTGCAGGATGTTCAGTTGCACATTGTAACTTGGGTTGCCTCAGAAGCAGACTCAGAGATAAGGATTCACGTACAAGTAATTTGTTTGGGAGATAATCCCAAAGAGTATGGACAGGAGAAAGAGGGAAGTGAGACAACCAAGGGAATGAAGCTGATATAGGGTTACCACTTGTGTGCAATTGAGGCTTAATCCCATGGGCACATCTCATGCCTTGGAATTGTCCCATCAGAGTGGGGAGGGATGTGGGGTATTTATTCATCAATTTTCATCTAGTATTGGTTGAGAACAATTCTGGGGCACTTCCTAGGACTTTTGGCACGCTCTGTTGGCAAATGGTGCATATTCTTCTGTCTCGAGAAGGCCTGCAGGCACAATGTCCAGATGCTTACAGGAGGAAGCCATGAGGTGGGCACACGTGGAAGCAGTGAGTGTAGGAGGATGTGTACAGGACACCAATGCATCTGCTGTAGATGAGGACTGTGGAGAAAAGAGAGGAATAAAGACTGACCCTTCGATAACTAGTCTGAAGAACTGAGTAGTGAAAGATGTCATTTACTAAACTGGAGAACCCTGAGAGAAAAACAGGAATGGGGAGGCAGAAATTAAGTGTGTGTTTTGGGTACATAAAGTGCTTAAAATAGTGCCCAGCTCTCACTGAGCACTGCATACTTTTTGGCATGTTCAAAATAACAACAGTGATACTAATAATGGCAGCCACCTTTGAGATGTCTATTACACACCCAAGCTGAGATGTTGAGTAGGAGGTTGGACACAGACATCCAGAGCTTAGGGGGTGGGAAGAGATGGGAGCCATCAATCAGTTTATGAGGGCGGTAACAACAGACAAGACAGACAAGACAACAAATGTGTGGAATGATTTGCAAGAGTTATGAGCCAAGTGGTATGGAAACAGAGCAGGTGCAGTCAGTAACTTCATAGAGAAGGAAGATGAGCAGTTAAAGGAGCAGAAAAGCCCAGAAGCATGTAGGTCGGGCCATGTTTTGATTCCTGTCTCCACCCTGCTTCTGGTAGAACAGGCTGAATGTCTTGCTCATGACCTTTGTGTTACTTCTGAGACTGAATTTTGCAACATCTCCAAGGCTACACAGCTCTCTGTCAGTAGTGCAGTGGGGAGGACCCTCCATACATCTTAATATCCCAGCCTTGTCTTTGCCCATTTATTCCTTACTAGGTCCAACCTATGGAAGGAGGAGTCTGTAACCAGATTGATTAGAAAGGTGTGTGGGGGGGGTATGCCTCATCAATAAGGGTATAAACATAATGAACATTTGTATACCTAACCCTGAATTGTACCCCACATCTTTAAAATAAAAAAATTAAATGTTAAAAAAAATTCAGTCACTCCGCAAGTTGTGTTTTCCACATTTCTTGCATCTGGTCTCTCATGTTAAACCAACCTGAGTGGGTCTTTTCCTAGAGCAGGAGTTAGCAAGCTTTTACTATAATGGGCCAAGTAGAGAGTAGTTGGGGTTTTATGGGTTATCTAGTCTCTGTTGCAACTCATACTCAACTTTACTGTTGGAAGTGAAAGAAGTCATAGACAAACAAACAAACAAACAAAACACCCCCCCCCCACACAAACAAAAAACAAATGGGTATGACTATGCTTCACTAAATCTTTATTTACTAAAGCAGGTGTTGGGCTGGATTTAGCCTGTGGCTACTATTTGCTGACCTTTACTCTAGAAGCATGATCATAATCCTCATCTATGCAGTGGTTGGGTAGGTGGTTATTGGTGCTCATTCTGCTGCCTTGCCATTCCAGATTCATGGGAGGGCATGGGAAGGAGGTCCTTGCCTGAGCTTCCTGGGCTAAGTCATATTCTCCAGCTTAGCTTTTCCCAGCTAAGTCATATTTTCCAACTTAGCTTTTTTTAGATTGGGATAGCAATGCATCTTCCTAACTACTAATGGGTCAGAATGTTGTTCATGTGCCCAGTGCCCTTAGACAGGCATCCTGGAGGAGACACAAAACAGGTGCTAGGCTTTGGGGCACAAATCCCTGACTTAAATCTAGGTGTGGCAAATATTTATGTTATAAAGATAGAAAAGTGCTCATTTTACAAATGTGGGGCTTATCTCTCATTTTCTCTTCTTCCTCTTTTTCCTCCTCCTCCTCCCCTTCTTCCTCCTCTTCTTGTTCCTCATTAATAAAGACCATTAGCTTCACATCCATCTTGCAAATCGTTCTCACTTCTGCATATAACTCTTAGAACTCATTGTCCACTCCAGCCAGGTAGCTCTAGCTCACTCAGGCAGCATGTCAGGTCCATCTCTGTATGTCAGGGGAGGTTGGTGTCACTGGTTAAATTGGATTTCTTGATGGTCAAGCTGATCTTTTGGGGGTAGATTTTGTACCTGAAATTCTCTTTAATAAAAGTCAACTCTTCATCCAAACTTATCTCACAAAAATGGGATGATGAAGACAATAGCAGGACAAATAAAATGTCTTCATACTAATTTTTTGGAAAAAAAATATTTTGAGTACCTGCTTTGTGCCAGGCTTTGGACTACAGTTTACTTAAGGTCTCTTTATGGATGTACATTAGGATCACCTGGGAGGCTTTAGCAATCCCAAAGTCAAAGCCCTATCCCAGACCAATTAAGTCAGACTCTCTAGGTGAGACACAGGCATCAGCAGTGTTTAACTCTTCCCAGGTGATCCTAATGTGCAGCCATAATTCTTGTAAATAGTGAATTTACCTAGAAAAATACTTTTGCACGTTTCCTCATTTTTTTTTTGCTTTGGTTTTGTCTTCTCTAATCCTTTCTCCACTGTAATCAGAGAGATCTCTCTAAAGTGTGAATAGGACCAGTTGCTCCCCTTACCACTATCTTCATGATAAATTTCAAACTTTTTAATATCAGATCTTTAATGACTTCACCCAAGATCCTCCTCCAGCCTCATTACTTGCCCTTATATTGATTTGCCAATTATAAGACATTTTAAATTTCTAAACTCTGCACATGCTGTTCCTTCAGCCTGAAAATCCCTTCCACTCGAGTCTGTCTGGCAAACTCCCACACATCTTTCAAAACCATTTCAGGCATCTTCTCTGTTCACCTTCCCTCACTCCACTGTGCTCCCAGTCAGAGTCAGTCACTACTATTATTCGATGGTCTTCTTCTTTTTTTTTTAAATCAATATTTTTTATTATGATATTGTGGGGTACAGTTAAGGGTTA